TCCAGGGCTCGGAAAATCTGGAAAATTCCCCATCTGTGTTTTGGTGTCGGGGCTGGGAGGGGAGCGGGGAGGGCGGGATGGAGGAGGAGGAGGAGGAGGAGGATGAGAGGAGGAAGAGGAGGAGGAGGAGGGGGAGGGGGCCCATATGGAGCCGCCGGGAGCTGCAGGATGCGGAGCTGGCGGGGGCTCGGCCGCGCTGGCAGAGCCGGGCGATCAATAAGTGACAATCCAGCCCTGCCGAGGGAAGGTGACCTTGAGCGGCTCAGCCAGCGGGGAGGAGGGAGGCAGGGCCAGGAATTCCACACGGAATTGCTCCCCGGGAGAGGGAGGAGGGATGGAGGGGAGGACAGGGATGCAGGAGGGCTCAGTGCCCCCCCTGACTGCTCCAGGACAGGATCTGGCTGCTGGGGACAGTCCCCAAGAGGGGTGGCCCTTCCCAGCATGGACACGATCAATAACTGCCTCAATAATCAATAACCGAGCCCCAATAATCAATTAACCGAGCCCCAATAATCAATAACCGAGCCCCAAACCAGCCCCAGCTCGGGGATCCCCTCAGGGTCCCTCCTGCCCCATCCTGGGCCCTCCTCCCTGAGGGTGACAGGGACACAAAAGCCACCAAAGGCAGACCCTGAACCTCAGCTCTGCCCCTCCAAAGCCGCTCCTTGCTCTGGGAAAATTTGGGATTTCTGTCAATCCAGGAGCCATCCCTGCCCTGCCCTCACCCTCCTGCAGCTCCTCTGAACCCTTCCCTGATAATTCCGGAGCTGTCCCCAATGCCGGGGACATTCCCAAAGTCCCCCGGAGCCAAGGGAAGCTCCAGGCATTCCCCGCACTCTGCCTTTGCCCTCTAGCGGGACGAACGCGAAGGACCCGCTCGGGAAAATTTGGCCAATTCCATCCCGCTGGAGCCTGGTTTGCACAAATCCCAACTTTTCCAACAGAAACGAGTCGCTCTGAGGGGGAATTTGCTGGAGCAGAGTGGAGATTTAGGGGCTTTGTTTTGCTTTGGGTGGCTTTGGGGTCCCCTCACCCCCGAAGGTGGGATGGGGTGTGGGGGGTTCCCACATTTTCCAGGGCTGGATTTGGGTTTGGGGGCTCCATCCCATGGGATCAGCTGGATAAAAGCTGGTGGGAAGGTGTTGGAAGGGTGGATGGGGATGGAGGAGGATGCAGGGACAGCGGAGGCAGAGCTGTCTCAAGGCTGACACGACAACAACAAATCCTGGAATTTCAGCTAAAACAACCCCAAATTCCCATTTCCCAAGGAATTTGGGACAAATTTGGGACAAATTTGGGACAAACCGAGCTTGATTTTGGACACAAAAGGGGAGAGGGGAGGTGACCACGCTCCTCTCCAGCCCCGTGGGCTCTGGATCCCCAGGGATGAGGAGCAGGATCCTCTTCCCAGGTTTTCTCCAGCCGCCTTCGGATCCCTCCCAGGTTTTGGGATGTGGGCTGAGCTCCGGGGATTGGGCTCAGGGGTTTGGATTCTCCGGGGATGTGTCATCCCCTCGCGGTGTTCCTTCCATGTGGATAAAAATACCAGGGACGAATGCGTGGCATGGAAAATATCCCACACCGCTGGGCAGCTCCTGCTGCCTCGGCATGATCCCAGAAATTGGAACTCGGGGATTCTCCTGCTGCTCCTGGAGGGGATGTGGGGCTCCAGGATCTCCAGGTTTCTCTGCAGTTCCAAATCCAG